TCCAGCCAGAGTATTTGCTACTACACGCAGCATACTAAGGCCGACACCATACCAGTGTTATATTCCACCAACACCGGCAGGCTCTCCAACTGTGCCCACCTCATTGAATCACTGCGGTGACTGCGAGGTTGGAATCCGTGTGGAGCATCCGGCACCAAGATTAAATGCTCCCTGGAAAATTATTAACATCCGACTAGGTAAGAACCACCGGAGTAAGCCAAAACAATCTTGAAAAAACAAAGCTGGAAGACTCACATTTCGATCAAAACTTTACACAGAACACAGTAATCAAAAACAGTGATATACAGCAGCGTGGTGGCTACGCCTGTAATCCTAGCACTCTGGAGGCAAAGGCTCCAAGGATTGCTCAAGGCAGGAGTTACAAAACCACCTGAGAAAGAGTGAACCATCAGTCTACAAAAAAGAAGAATAATTGCACTCAAAAATTATAGAAATAAATCTGCATAGGTGGCGCACCTGTATCCAGCTTACTCTGAGGCTTGAGCAAAGATTGCTTGACCAGATCTTGAGGTTGCTTGAGCATAGCTGATGCCATGGCATTCTAGCCACGCAACAGAGTGATACCCTGTCTCAAAAACAAAGACACAAAAAAACAGTAACGTACATACTGACAGGCCATGAATAGTAGAGCGCAAAAATAATCCACATACATTGGTCAAATGATTTTTACTTTAAATTTTATAGGTCATAAGCTTGTACTTCAGGTAATGTGAAGGTTGATATAGCACACATTGAATTAACAAACACGGTAACTGGATATCCATCACCTCAGGGGATATTTACATGCAGATGAATGAATTGACCCTTTACTACACTAATACAAAACAACACAAAAAGATAGAAGTAAGTAGAAGCCTAAAAATAACTTAGAAGAAAACATAGGGCAAAGGCTCATGACATTGATTTGGAATTTCTGGTATAAAACGCCACAGCAATAAAAAAACTACAAATCGATCATAAATTTAAATTTCGCAGTAAAAAATTCATGAAGAAGTAAAAGCCCACAGAAGGAAGAAAATACTGCAAACCATTCATCTGATAAGGGCCTTGTATCAGGTGAGTCAAGAGGGATAATAAGCCGGGCGCCGGTGCTCACGCCTGAATCTAGCACTCTGG